GAAGGGAGATTTAATATATATATATAGATATATAGGAGAGTTCAAATACAAACCTCACTATCATAAAAACTAAAAACCAATCCTCTCCATTGGATCTAGATTCATCCAATGGCTGAGGATTAAAGCTGCATAAGGGTAATTAGGTAATAACAACCGCACTAAAGAGAGGTAATTAATGCTTCTTATTGAGTTCTCCATTTTCCCATGCAACTCCTCCTCCTCACGTTCTCTCTCTCTCCTCTCTCTCCATTTCCCAAAAGCTTGAACCAGCCCCTCTCTCTTGGTAGGTGTTATTTCTTGGTAGTGTTATATTTTCTCTTGGTAGGTTAATATTCTAAGTTTGAATTTGATTCTTGGTAGTGTTATTTCTTTTGATCTGATCATGGTTTTGTTCTCGTCATGTATTGGGGATGATAGAAAGAGGGGCTCCATGGCAAGAGTTCCTTCAAGCTCAGCAGCACCCCTCGGTTCGTCACGTTTTTCTTTTAATTTCAAATTTGATTTTGTTTCTTTTTAGGGTAATTGTTGAAGTTGCGATCTTGGTTCTAGGATTTGTTTTAGGCTTGGGGTTTCTGCTTATACTCGATCTTTGGTTGTTTGTTTTGTTGGATTATCTTTCAAAATTTGCAATCTTTTTTAGGGTTTCGTATTAAAATATTTTAGAAAATTGCAAATCCCTGTAGTTTTTTTGTTAAAATTGGTTAAAGTCAGAATTTAGTTGTGGGGTTGTTTTAGTTGCTGTCCTAAATAATTGAATTCACTGCAGTGAATCGAGATTCACTGCAGTGAATCGGCCATTTTTGTTGTCTAATAATATGAATTCACTGGCAGTGAATCCAGATTCAGTTATGTGAGGTGTTTGTTTTTACCATAAAAATTGTAACTTTTTGCTTAAAATCATCAAAACACGTTCTATAAATGCATGCAGTGGAATCTCGATTCACTGCAGTGAATCTCGATTCACTGCATGAATCCGATTCACTGCAGTAATCTCGATTCACTGCTGGAATCCAGCTTGTTTTTACTTCAATAAAACGCATGAGTGAATCTATGATCACTTCAGTGAATCTCGATTCACTCAGTGAATCCAGATTCAATTATGTTGAGGTGTTTGTTTTACCATGAAAAAATCATAACTTTTTGCTGTAAAAGGCTGAAAATTTTTCGTGTTAAAATTTTATAGCTTGTTTTTACCATAAGTTTCTTATTCTGCTTGGATGGTTTAGAATGATTCACAAATCCAGTGGAGCAGCAAATCGATTGGAGTGAATTCAGATTAAATTGTTGAGTGAATCTAGATTGAAGATCAACTTCAGTGAATCCAGATTCATTGCGTGTTTGTGTTCTTCATGTGAGATTTACAGAGATCGGAAGTTGAGTTAGAGAGAGAGAGAGTATTAAAGAATGTAGCACTATTAATGTAAGAGAGAGTATTAAAGGACGTGTATTAATTTGTATCATTGTTCCAATGTAATTCAGTCACCATTAATGCAATGAATTGTTCCAATTTTACCCTTTTCACATTAATGCGGTGTATTAAATTTGTCTATATTTACAATTCTGCCATCGAAATCTAGGCCATTGGATGAAATAGAATGTAGGGTTAGGATGGTTTTAGTTCCTAGTTTTTATTAGAACCTCTCCCTATATATATATATATATAATATATATATATATATATATATAATATGTATGTATGTAGGAGATTAGGGTTAGGGTTAGGGTATAAGCTTGTTTTTAAAATATGATTAATAATTTTATAAAATTAGACTTTTAATCGTAGAAATTTTTAGGAAAACGAGAAAATAAAAATACTCTTTTAAAAATAATAATTAAATATTTCAAAATACCAGAAAAATTATTTTAAACTAGTATTAAAAATTTCACGGTCATTACAAAGTTAATCTATCACACCTAACCTTACCAACAAATAGAGAGGCTTCCACTTTCGAAACAGACATCTAACCCCTATATCCAGAGAGAGGAGGGAAAAAAGGAGGGCTACACTCTCTGCGGGGATGATTAGAAGCACCATCAAGAAAGAGGGAGGAATTGAAGACATAAGTTTTGAGGCTACACGACCACCAGAGCACCAATACAAGCCAATCCACTATACCAGATATCCACTTTCTCACGGGAGCTTCTCCCTCAAGTTCCTTCTCTTCTTTAGGGCAATCTATTTCTTATCTGAGGAACATGTTGGAGAGAAGTTAGGAGGCGAAACCCCAACTTTACTTTTATTACCTTTCTGCCAAACTCCAAAGCTTCTTTTTTTTTTGAAGTAAAAACAGGGCAATGTGTCCTATTCAAAAGAGTTATTATATAAGCCTAAGATATATGCTCTAACAATTATTATATGTTAGGGATATGGTTCTAATTAACTGGGAAGGAGGAGAGGACCCTGGCCATCACCCCTTCTAGCAAAAAATAAAACCAACAACACTAGCACATAAGAATAGATAAAGCATATGAAAAAGGCTGATCAAAAGAATATACATTGTTAGAGTTGAACTTGCAGCTCAAAAGTCTGATATGAGTCAGAATTACATCTATAAATACACAACAAGGAAAATAAACCTGGGGGGGGTGAATAGTGTTTTTTTAAAAATTATGCAAAATAGATTATAAATTGCAATGAAGATAGCAAAATCGCAGAGAATCACCATCACAAATACAGTATTTTATACTGGTTCCACCTCCCCGATGTACATCCAGTCCCCAAGCAAATCCCGCTTGAGAGTTTCACTATGATTTTGAAAAACTTACAAAATCAAACAGCAAACCTGACCAATTTGTACGATCATGCAAATTCCACACAATCTTTTCACCAAGAGATCACACCTCTCACACCCGAGAGAACTTTTCTTTAATCAACAATACAATTCCTATAAGCCTTGATTGTGTAGTGATGTGTAGTAGTGGCTTAGGAATGTTTTTAATCTATGAAAATTACCTAAATAGGTTTTATATTGGATGAAGATCAAAGGCTATCTTAGAGAATACTTTTCTCAAACATTTAGTGAAAATCTGAAAGTTTTTGAACTCTTGAGAATGCATAAAAATTGAATCTTATGGATAGGAATCAGTTGACCAAATTTCTAAACTTGTAACCTATTTAAAGCCCTTGAAAAGACAAGTTTTCAAAGTCAATTAACGGATCAAAACGACTTTAAACAATCAGTAATTCAAATTTTGAAATGTTAGAAAACTATCATTATAGTCGACTAGTAGTCGTTGTAGTCAACTACACTAAGTTGAAACAGACTCTATAAATTCAGGATTTTTCTTAGTAGTCGACTACACTAGTCATTTGTAAAACCCTAAAAAAATTCATGTTAATATAATTAATATGAGATTAATTATGATTTATGAATATTTATTTTGATAAATATAGTTAAATGGTCTATGAGTATGATACCATGAATTTTGAGTATGAACGAGTTCATATATGAGAAAGAAAAGAGGCGAAACATGCACAATGGTCAAAAACATAAAAAACTAGAAAATTCTAGTCCAGTCGATCACCGTCGGTCGACCGTCACGGTCGACCGCGAAACCTGTAGAGATCTGTTTCCTGTTTTGAGTTGGTTTCAATTTTCTAAAGCCCATATCCATTTCCTAGTGTGTGTGTGTGTGTGTGTGTGTGAAAACCTCTTTAAACCCTATTTTGATTCTTGGAGAAGTTTGGAGGCTTTCAAGTGGATTTTTCGCGGGATTTTTAGCATTTGGCTTGTAGATCTTCTTTGGCTTGGCTTCTTAAGTGCTTTTCTACAAACCCTAGGCGAGTTCATCTCTACTAATCCCTCTCCTATTTTTTAAAGCGTTTTTAAAGAGTTTTTAATATGTTTTATAGAGCCAAATTGACTAGTTTATGTATAAAAGTCAATTCTTTGTATTATATATATATAAAGACTAGGTCTTTCCATGTTAAAAAGTTTTAGAACGATTT